CTACAGCTCGGGTGCATTTCACTGGTTAACGACGACATTCTCGATAAATCGATGGGCCTACTAAGAGATTTTTAAAATTGTGGCTACTTATATTTATTCCACAAGTTTCTATCATTGAAGCCATCTATTTAATCTATACAATATCCTCATAAAGATTACGAGCCATTCTCTTCAAGTTAGCCTTTTGTGGTACTAAAGAAGTGGTCCCGCCGCTCGGATTTTCTTCACTTAGTCGCTGCAGGAGCTGAAACAGTCGGCAAAGAATACTTTAGTGTCCTACCGCGATCTGGACTCAAGAGGGATGCTATACCAACTGTTTTCTCTTAATTTTCCTTAATCATTCTATCCTTCTTACACAAAATCGAAACAGAGCTTGTCGTTCAAGAGGTTTGCTCATCCCTGCTTGCCGATGTAGACATCTCCGACACGGCAATAGTTCGAAAAGCAATCAGCACTTCTAGTGCACGGGAAAAAGACGACTACTAAAAGCTTAAGTTCCTGGGAGATTTTATTCTGAAAATGCTTGTTTCCATCTTCTTGGCCTTCAAGTGTGAGTAGCCGCTCCCTTCTTGCTTACGATAATCTGTTCATAGAAACTCTAGTAAATCCAAGTATTAAGAAAGCTAACTCGATTCAATAAATAATCACTGGCCGGAAGGCTATTTATCCGCCAAAAGAGCCGCAATTGTGTTAAATGCTCGGTTATACAAAGCTGCCACCGATCGTGGTTTGGACAAGTTTATCTTTATGGACGTCTTTACGAGAAAAGGATGGCGTCCTTTCTATGTTAAAGAGTTACTGAAAAGTGAAGAGAATGGAACTAGACGGATCTTGAGCAAGACGATTGCTGATGTTGTGAAATCCCTCATTGGTGCCAAATGAAAAATGAAGGACTTCTAAACATTACTGTTAATTGCTTAAATTTTCTTACCAAAAATTGACTTGCCAAGCGTTAAAGTTGAAAGAGCACAGTTGTTTGACGTTGAAGACTTATGTCAGTTGGAGAGCCTTGCTAGTTATTCTTTCGTGAAGAAGTCTCTGATCATCCAAGCCATGTCGCACAGATTAATTAATACCGCAACTGCGAGCTACGAGCGGTTGGAGTTCCTTGGCGACAGTATTCTGGAGGCCTTAATAGTCACCGAAATATTAAGGCTTGAGGATAGCCTTCCGCTTTCCTTCATGTATCTTTGCAAGACAGCCTTAGTTAATGGCAATTTTCTTGGTTTTATCGCTCTTAAGTGGAGTATAACTTAACAGGAAACATGTTAGAAGGAAAATCACCTGACTGGTGTCATGGAAGTGATAGATTCCGAATTTCAAAAGCCGCTGTGGCGGTTTATGAGACACGGAATGCTTGATGTTGGCATAGAATAGCAAGAGATAGCCCGACGGCATAGATTACTACGCTATGATATTCTGTCGGCAATAGAATCGGGAAGCGAATACCCTTGGACTCTATTGGCAGGCATTTAGGCGAACAAGTTCTACTCAGACATAGTAGAGAGCCTTTTAGGAGCGGTTTGGATTGACTCGGGGTCTATGGAGGCGTGTAGACAAATCTTGGATTTAATAGGGATCATTAAGTGTGACGACCGGAACGTTGGTTGTCACGTGCCTAGCTACCTCAGGCCGCTACCCCCTATTCCTGTGTGTATATAGCCTCTCGCAGAACCCTTCTGGTTCTGCACCTTAATATTCTAAGCACTTGAACCACTGCTTTTGCCCTGCCGCTTGTCACATTAATTCTGAATCGAGTTCTTCCAAAGGACCGAAATAAGAGTATCGTAGTTCTTCGGGAGGGAGTCCTTGTCTTTCGTATAAGCATTTCCCTTTACTTAAGTCACTCATTTAAAATAAATACCCAACGTACTATAGGAGAAGTAATGCCTTCAACTGCACAGAAACAGATGCTTCAGACCTTCAATGTGACGTCAGAACACTTGCAAAGGTCTTGAGGCTCCGAGATCAAGTTGATGTCTATATTAAATAGGCAATATCAAAATATAATCCTCTGCAGAATGGCCCTTGTCTTACACTTTGCCCATTTCTGGCTGTTTTATTTCGCTACGCCTTGAGATCCACCGCCCTCTGATTGCTGTAGGAGAGAGTTGTTAAGTTCTTATAATAGATAGCGGTGGTAGGAATTTTTGATCTGGGAACCTGCTCACTCTTACTTGGAGACAGGAAATAGAGGGTGGACACGCGTGTATTGCTACACACTGGCTTGCTTGCCTTGAATACTCTCTACTGAGCTATCTACAGGAGCTGCTGATATGCAGGGAGCTCTGACCCCGCACTAGGCCAGACTGGATCTAGTGTCCACGTGCTATCTGCGCTGAACCACCTTATTCCAGGAAATCTTTTAATCTCTTAAATACCTACTTTACTTTTATACGATAGTTAAAAGCCATAAATATATTTTATTTAATTAATTTCTACCTTTACTTTTATATTAAATACCTTAATTCTTTGACATAATTTTTATAACTATTTTTAATGAGTTCGATTTAAACCTTGGAACTCATCGTTCTTAATATCTTAACATGGCCAAGGCCGTTGACGCCTCTTTTAACCGTTCACTAAGGTTTAAATGAGCTAGTGCTTGGATTTCTGTCAATTCTTTGAGGTGATTCTCTTTAGCAGCAAGCTTTCTTAGTATGCTTGATTGGATCTCCAACATGCATTCTTTGAGATCCAGTCCTTCCAAAAACTCAAGGTTTGTTCCCGACTGTTCCTCAAGATGCTGGCGCTGTTTAGCCCTCTTCTGTAGGTATAATCCCTTCTTCCGTTTGACTTCATCTGCAATTTCAACTCCGGCTTGACAACTCTGAAATTTTCTCCGAGGGCGAGAAATTATTCTGTAATCTGCAGTGGAACCCTTCAGTCCTCTGCTAGCATTAGCTCGGCTCATTACAGATGATGCGGGAGTGTGACGCGGGCAGTAATTCGGTGACTTCGACATCTGAAGGCAGTTGAGTCGAAGTGGCTAGACGCAGCCAAGGCTGAGTTGGATGGGGTCTATATAAGAGGCTCAAGTCGGCGATTACTAATGCAGGTCAGCTAAGTATTTTGGGTTAAAAACTACTGTACACCTAATTTGTAAGATGCTCTCGGCCCCCTTAAGCGAGCCTTACTAAATCATTAGCTCTTTTTCAGTTAGAAATTACTCAACGAATTATTATAACGTAATAATAAGGGAAGAGTGAAGAGATGGACTTGATGGTGCGAAACGGGAGGGCTTTGACGCTGAAGATCCCACAAGGTATTTTGCGAACCATAAGCTAATAAACGAACCTATAAAAGCGAAATGGGAAAATAACGCCTATTTCCTTGAATTAGAAGTTAATAATCAACTATTAGAACCTCTATTATATAAGGTAGATCATTACATTAAATATAATAGACTAAATTTATATCATAATCGTTTATTGCACGTTAATAGGGAATATATATATAAAACAATCGATTGTACGATTGTAGGGCTTGTAATAGTGGAAAAATGCACTCTATTACTAATAAAAAGCCTACGACTAGCGCAAAACCTCTCACCGCCTTTGATATAAATATTGCGAGTCCTTTTAAAGTTAATACTTCAATACAACACCACCACTACTATTGTTACCATTATTGCAATGCAACGACTTGAGCTTAGTACGGGTGTACTAAAGTATAAGCATGTTGGAGAAATGGAGGTTCAGTGGATCACTCGTAGCCTGAGGTACAAGTACGAAGGCTGTAGGAGAGCTTAGAGACGTGGTCTGTGCTGAAGCTATTAGAGCTTCATGCAGGAACAAGAACTTAGCTCGATACACTCAATACAACCACTGTTCTACCCACACCTTCCTTCTGACCTATGATGTCTCTCGGAGTGGACTTCTGTTTAACATTAAGTCTAAATCCAGTGATTAATTTTTATTAGACTTAAAGATTATATTAACTCATGTATATGTAGACCACCTCCAGCACTTCTTTGAAGAGCCAGACTTTACAACCATACCATACTTTTGACTGACTGTCTCACTGCACTTTTCGTATTCAATATATTGAAGGAAGGCAAGGGCACAAAGTGCCCTGAAGGGACTGTAGTTGTCGGTATTATCATGTGTTTCCATCACCATGACTCTCTTGAAACCCCTTAGGGCCTTGGTGTATGGACCTCATATATATATCGTAGCTACGTCCTCTCTTATAGAAAGAAAACACACAAGACACACCGACTGAATCAATCGATTGATCTAAGAGTTCTCCACCTGTTATTGCATTTGCACTTGAGTTACCTGATATTACTTGACTTTACCTGCTTTTACCTGATTTCGCGCGCACGCATTTATAACCTTTACCGGTTGAACCAACAATACCCTTTGCTGCTGAATATGACTTGTTTCGAGGCTTGCGTGCTAAGGAGGCTCCTTAGTTGCGTATTGCGTCCTGCTTTATAGTGTACGAAACAGTGCCGTGGGAGAGTTGCAGCTCCCTCGCGATGACGCGGGGTTTTGAAAGACCACACGCCATGCCAGAGATTTGACCTCTCTCGAAGGGAGTAAGGTGATCTCCCTTTTGTCGATCCCCAGAGATAGCCCCTAAGAGAGCTCGTTATCGTAGCATTTTGGTGGTTGATAATTAAGGAGGAAGAATCGCGAACACGAAAAGTCGCGGTTTTACGCGATCTCGCTAAATATAAGTTGTGGGGTACTGTATCGTTTAAGTTATTTAAAACTCTCCTTATATTAAAGGCTTTATGAGAGTTTCTATAATGAGCAATATAATACCAAAACGAAGCTAGCCCTATTCTACGATAAAGCAAACTCCATGTCAAATAAAGAAGACTGTGCAACCAGGAGTTGTTACTCGTTACAATAGAGATTCATAAAACTCGAATCTGCCCTCTTAGGCCCCTTCAATGCTTGTGCAGGCCTCTTTATCAATCCTGCCTTATCGCTTCTTTTGTTTGGCCGTCCACCAGTACTAAGCTATAATTATTATATATATCTAAATACGTAGTATAGTGGTTAGTATTTTAGTTATACACTTAACTAAAGACTTAGGTTCGATTCCTAATAATCTTGGTTGTGAAATATGTGACGCTTGCCCTAGAAAGACGACAGTCACGTGTGGCTGAAGCCTCACATATCAACACAAGGGGAATATATGACGATACCAAGCATCAACTTAGAATCAATAACTACGGAGTTAAGAAGG